TGTCATATCCCGTTAATGTCAAGTATTGGTTTTCATTTTTAAGGCGATTGGAGCAGTTTATCAGCTCAATTCGTCATTCAAATTCCAAATCCCTGTCTCTTTGTCACGAATGAGGGTTACATTACCCGAGTCCATTAAAAGATGGGATGTCTGAGATTTATAGGACTTTTCGATTTATTCTTCAACTTTCTTCCATATTGGATTTACTCGCTTGCCTTCATCTATACATGGTTGAACTGTTATTACAAATTGTGCTTGTAAATTGTCTGCAGCGCTGCTGCAGGAAAACAGGTGTGCAAAATACGAGGATTCCGGCCACAAGCTTTTAGGACATAAAACAGCAGGGGAATATCCAGGGAAACTCAATATCATTTCATCACAATTACCAGACACTTTGAGACCAGGTATTGTTATCTCAAGAGGAAAATATTCAAGAAACTAAATCTTTATCAGCCAACAGGCATCACCCCTCAATAAACAATTCTTGGACACAGTGGGTAACCATGCCTGTTGGCTCCCCCCCCCCCCCCCCCCGCCGAAAATGCCCTCCCCTTTGGCGACCCCTCCCTAAAATTGAACCATTAGATGATTTTAAAAGATACACCAGTTTAAAATCTCTAAAAAAAGCGGTTCATAGAGCATAAAACGCGCAGTTTTCAAGTACCTCAGTTAAGTTTGGGGGGGGGGGGGCAAACCATATTAAAGTATATTAAAATGTAGGATTTTTCCCGATTTTGACCCGGGTCCCGGGTTTATTAACTTTAACATATGTAATATACCTACAATTTACTTTAATATATCCCTATCGCTAGGAGGCTTACATCAAAAATTGTTGACCAAAATAAGCTGAAATGCCATTCTTAATCGATCAAAAGTTCTTGAAAAAATATTGAAAAACTGATGGTGTTATTTCAATTTTAATGAGTCCATTTTGGCTCTAGTATTCCGTTCCAAGTATTATGTGCAATTTTCCCAATTTTGTTCATTGAGGTCTTTTTTACTTGTATCCATTATATTCAACAAACATGATTTTAATATCTTTTCACTGAGTTAGTATATTAAAAATATTGAACTTTTATCGCATTTGGGCAAAAAAGCGAATTTGGGCAAAAGGGTTATGCCAAATATGGGCATATTTTTTAGCTCTAGCTCAAGCAATTTTTGACCAATCTGAATGGAAATTCATGTACTAGTCTAAAACAGGGCTTATCATGCGAATCTGAGTGAAAAATACAGTTCAACATGTTAATTTAATAAAACAAAAGTTAATAAAACAAAAAATGTATACCAATTATTCAGTCAATACTATCATAATCTTACATTGGAAACACAATGCAGGAATGGATGTCTCTAAACTTTAATTTTGTTGTCACAGTAATTATTTACTTACAAAGTTGAATTTTTAGTTGTGTAGTATGAAATGCACACATCATAGTTAGGGTAAAATTTTATTCTTATTTATTTAAAAATTTAAGAAGATTGCTCTATGGACTTAAAATTTAAAATTTAGCAAAAAGATATTAATTTTAAATAGTTGGTTACAGTTTATGGACAGAGAGTACTGGCATGACCCAATTTTATTGTGGCTGGTTAAAAGGGAACAAGTTGCCTGTAAGGGCTTTACGAACCCCTGGGGACCACATTGATAGGATTCAGGCCAGATGTTTCTATGTAAAGCAATTTATTTATTTCGGAGCTATGGTTCCGTGGTATAGCTGGTGGTCATGTTTAAAGGTCAGTTTAAATCTTAACGAAGAATATAAATCTTCTAATTGTACGTATATTAAAGTATATTAAAATGTAGGATTTTTTCCGATTTTGACCCGGGGATATACTTACACCCTCAATACACTCGGATCCACAAACACCTTAGAGATCAGATGGATAGCTGCACACATGGAAATTGGGGGGTATGAAAAAGCAGACGAGGCTGGCAAATACATGGTACAACCAGGTGAATCCACTTTGAATTGCCCAATTCCCAATCTTACATCAAACGCTGATCAACGACAAAAGTCACAAAAACTTAATCAAGAATCATGGATTACTGATGTCCCCGACACCTAAACTTGACACTTGGACATAAAAAACCTCAAACATCAAAAATCTCAAACATTCACTCAGTAACAACAGACAAAATTATAGAACTGCAGTGCACCTCATCACGGGACATTGTGGCCACAAACAAACACTAAACCATTCGCAAATCCGCCACCAGTGGCTTGTCCTAATGCGGCACCGAAAGCGGAGCTGTCTACACTTTCTCGGACAGTGCCGGCTTATTGCCAAATAAGAGGACATATTACCGGGACTATACCTCTCTGTCCATGACATATGTCGAACCAACAACATCTCACATTGTCAACTTGACAAACACCACTAATTAGTGGTGCAGAGGAGTTGGACCAGGACAGTTGTAACTTAGCGACTATTTTAACGCCAGTCTTATTTCGCCTCTCTCTTCCCACACTCAACCACCAATTAACGCGTTTTAACCATGACAACCTACAACACTTACCATCATCCCTTGATTTCACATCTTGATTCCCTCTGGCATCCTCCCACTGGACTGCCATCCCCCTGAGGTAGGCAAAGCTTCATATGCTATCCTCGCGTGGGCCCAACCAGGCCCAGCCTCTCTAAATAAAAAAAAAAAAAATGGTTGGCCCCCCCCCCCCCAAAGTTTTTCAAAATTGTACGTTCAAACGACGATTTTGGCGCCCCCTAAGATGGCGCCCCACATCCCCCCCCCCAAACAGCGGGTCAGCGGGCCTTCGTTACGCACTGCTTGGACATCATTCACACCAACAAGCCATATTGCCTTCCTTGCCATTGAGGATTGACTTCAGGAATTTGATTATTATATTTAATTATAATAATAAATCTATACAGTTGCAACAACTTGAAATAATAGGGCCCTTTATTGGGCAGGAAAATGTTTTGTGTAAAATAACACTCCTTGTTAAATTACCTGGGACTAGGTATCATGTTCATAAACATAAAGATTTAGGCGGAATGGTAGGCTCAGCGGAATAACAGCTGGGCACAGCCCAGTAACTTGTTGAAGTGTTAGTTATAATTTGATATTGGGACCATATTATTTTTAGCTGAGGACACCCTCACGGGCAAGTAGACCAAAGTGGCTCTTGCAGAAAATTATTCAAACGATATACACATAAAGTAAAACAAAATTATAAGTATAAAACAAAATTTAAATTTTATTTTCCATTACAATGAATAATGTATCATAATTAAATATAAGTAGACATCCGATTAATAAACTTGTTACATACTGTACAACCAAGATGTCAGCCGACGCGACTTACAAAAATAAAGGAAAGCATGCTATGACCTATACAAATATTTTTTAATGGTCCAAATTTTAAAAACTGAGGTTAAAAATAAAACCCTTTGCAATAAATATATAACAACTTCACTCACAACAAAAGCAGTTATACCCCCATCCAACAAGCATTCTTGAACTTTTAGTATTGGGTTTGGGAGTGTTGACCATATTATTACATCTTTGTCAATCGTCATTCAATTTTTAAAATAGGATAATATTTTGATAATTTTTTTTTAAATATTGTATTTGATAAATAATTAATGTTGGTGGAGAAATATTTACATATTTCTTCACATACAACATAGTGCGATGATATTTTGTAGACATGTGATAATGTGATGTCATACATTTTACTTTACTTTTACTTAATTAATTGACTTTGAACACGATTCAACTTAAATTTAGTATTTACTGTAATACTAAATTACTGCAATCAATGTATATGTTTTGTCCCCCTACAATCAGCTGCAGCACTTTTTATCGTTTACCAATTTTGAATCACTCTTAATTGTTCTGACCTTAAACATAAAAAATAAGTAAACGGTACCCGGCCGGTACAATATTTGAAATATTGTTAACGGCTGATACTCGTAAAATATTTGTTTTAACGTCCTGGTAGGTTATAAACCTACAAAAATATTGTTACCTGAGGACCCCAGGCTATTATGTTCATAAATATAATAAAGATTCGGCGGAATGACAGGCTGAGCGCCGCCCAGTAAAAATATTGTCGATAGCTTGCAAATCAATTTTTCAAACTTGTCGCGCGGCGCGCACTTTTGTGTTTAACAAACGTGCTTATCCCTATACTATTCTGTATTCGATTTTTTTATATGCGTGAAGGTAACCTTACCTTGGGACTTCAGTCTATTATATTTATGTTCATAATTACCGAATAGAGATTAGGCGGAATGACAGGCTGAGCAGTGAGCACCGCCCAGTTAAGGGAACTGAGCGATCCGAGGGGTTAATAGCGCTAGTTTATTATATAACAGGCTAGGTAAGTTTAAGCACTACTTGGTTCGGTTATGAACTTGTAGCGCGATGCGTTACTGTGCCGCGCCGCGCACTCAATGAGGCTTCTCATGCAGCGAAATGCGCTACTGTGCCTCGCCGAGCTGCGATGAAGTGACATCGTCAATTAAGTTATGAACCTAGACATATCACGCCGCGCATGATCAATTAATGCAAAATGCTCTCATCGCTTCAATTTGTAATTTAACAAAACGTGAAAACGCGCCCCTACGCGACGCGCTTGCAATATCGCGCCCGTCGTCGCGTTTAATCAAACGTGTCACTTAATCTTTCATGTTCTAAACTTCTTATATTTACTGGGCGGCGCTCACTATCCTGTCATTCCTCCAAATCTCTATTTCATGATTATGAACATAATAATATAATAGCCTGGGGTCCTCAGGTAAAACTTCTATGTAATTTTTTAGCTGGTTAATACATAATACATGTAAATTGTACAAAGATATGCAATATGGGTAAAGTATAGGGTGGCGTTACCTGGGGACCTCACGCTATTATGTTCATAAACATATAGAGATTCGGCGGAATGACAGGCTGAGCGCGGCCCAGTAAAGGGTGACGCAAAACATCGAAAACAGAAAAAAGACAGTGTTTGGCACATTTGAACAAAAAATTTGTATATAAAGTTAATCACAGACTAAAACATTCAAAATGACTTCATAAGCTAAGTTTACATGGTATAGCAATAAAAACATCAAACAATATTAATAAAAAGACATGCATTCGCTTAAAATACTCACGGAATCATCAAACTCCTAATAGGTATCACTTGAAAAGATATTAGAGACAAATTCTAATCGAAATAAAAATAAAATGCACACACAGCATAGAACTAGAAGTTAGGATTGCCACATGCTATCATGTACCCCACGTTTTCTTGTAGAGTAACAAATGAGAAGTAAGTTTATCGTCGACCAACAAATGAGCAAAGAAATATTTCCTGTCCACTTTATAACCCGAATCCTTCAGCAGCTTATGAAGATGCGGTAGATTTTCCTCGAACGCCACAACGTACTCAGTACTTTTGGCCACCCTTTTCTTCTCGCCGCTGAACTTTTTCCACCAACTCTGAGGATCCCGATAAAATTGTTTCTCCTCGTGCTCGTAGCTCTCGAGCCCGGACAAGTCGGGGGAACAGTCCAGAAACCGGAGGTCTACCTCAGCATTGTGAATGTGAGAGTGGTAGGGGGTAGCATGGCACGGTGTCAGGAACACCACACTGTCGCCCGATTTAACTGAGCTCGATAAATCATGTACAACAGAAATAGTACCGCGCTGGTGGAAGAAGCCAATGTAAAAGGCTACAATTATATTAACGAGGGCGTTGAGCATTATGATGGTGTAAAGAGAGGACCTTTCAATGTGCCGACTGATCCAATGTAAACCCAGCCCGGCCCAGACCATGCATATTGGCATCAGGTGTTGCACAAACCGGAACTCTTTGTGGGATATTGTCGAGAAGAAGAACAATGTTGCCAGCACAACACCCAAGAACTGCCTAGGATAGTCCCGCTCCTTGATGAACGCCACCGCAATGAAAATAGAATGAGTGCCAAGAATGGCGGGAACACCCTGAGACAGGTACCAATGCCAGGGATGTGCCCCGTACACCTCACTACCAGCCATGTTGAACTTGAGGAAGTTCTGGAAGACGAAGGTGAATTTTCCGTACATGTAGGAGTCCAGAAGGGTGGTTAGAACAAGAGTAGGAAGTCCGATGACAAATGCTTTGATGATCGAGGAGAATCTTCTCTCGGGACATTTTATCAGGTAGTGGACACCTGAGGTTTAGTTTGGTGAGTCGAGGTGTTTCTAACTAGCCTGCAAACTGTTTTCAGTGTAAAGAAGAACCGGTTTAAGATCGGAGGTTAAAATCCAGAGATAGCTGTTAATTGGAATATGAATATGAATATCAGTGATATTTATAAGAATGGCAAACCTAGAAAGACCCAGAAAAGGACCAGAGTAGGACGTATAGCCACACTGAGAGCCGCCAGTATTACAGCCGGGTAGGTTACTTTGTCGTTGTACCTGAGATTCCTCTCATTATCTTTAGTGAGTATCACAATTTTTTTTCAACGATCTATGAAAGTTTTTATACGATTCATTTAAGCAAATATCCAATATTATCAACCACTAGGAGATTGTGGAGGACTCAAGATCAAATATCAAGTTCCCTGTGGACAATAACAAAGAAAAGCTTACCTGGTCGGCCATAAGTTCAAAGTAGCTGTTATCAGCAATGTTTCAATGTTGTTGACGAGTGGACGCGGGGAAACGTAAAACAGGTACCTGGAAATTAGACATTATAAATGGAGAAGTACAGGGAGATTTTGAAAAGCAGGTAGGTTTATCGATATTTTCCGTTGACATTACAAAACAAACCATGATATTACTTTTTGTGACCTTGATTGAAAATGTTACACCTCACGGTATGTTGTGACGAGCTATGCTTGACAATCTAATCAAAAATTGGTCTTCATGAGCCCATTAGTAACATGTGCTTATTGCTTTATTGTCAGTAACCAAGATTATCACGCGCAACAGACGATTTCCGTGTCCTTATGCAATATGCATATTACCTTTAGCGTGATCTATTTCTTTAGTTGTATCGGAACAGTTTTATTAACGTGGACTACTCTTTCACAGTGTATTGTTAAGCTTTCAAGCAGTATACTATTTTGTTTTCTATATTCTATCAGACTTTTATACATTACTTTATCATATTTTATTGAACTAAGTTGTAGTATTGCCAGATCCAAGTTCATCGTTCAATTTGTAACGGAGTTTTATATTAACAGGAAACGATGTAACAGAGTCGATATATTTTAATGTTGCCATGGGGTGGTAAGTCCCCATACATCGTGGTCCGGTAGTTTCATTGCGACTTATCCCCTTAATCTGCAAAATGTCCCGTACTTTCTGTTTTCCACCTGGTCATATAAAAAAAGTGTGTTTTATAGCCTATTAACGCACGCGCCGAGTTGCTTCACAACTCATCGAAGATGTTATATTACAAAAAGATATTGTATAGTACGGGTATCACCTGTTAAAATACACGATAAGAATCTATTTTAAGTGCACATAATATTATTATATGATCTATAACATGAGGTCGTACGTATGTGCGCGTGAACGGCATCACCATTATGGTATCACGCGTTACGCGAACGCGCTTGATTTTGCCAAAATCTGAACGTATCAAGTAAGCGATTAGATGTTAATTGTTATTCACATCTGCGATGTCAGACATCTAATCAGTTTGCTCGGCTTATAAATGTAGAAATAATGAGGAAGTTGTGATGGTTACGGTGTCAATCTGATAGTAGTCAAACCTACGTTAAGAATTGCTTGGAAGTTGAAAGTGAGTAGGTCTACAAATACCAATGAAGACGAACTCCACAGCTCCACTTTAGAAAAAGCTTACACTACAATCAGTGTGACTTGTTCATTTATATCATTACCAATTGTACAATAATTAGTTCTCCCCGAGTCCCGTACAATGGATCTCATGAAATAGCACAAAATATGTGTCAGCGACCTCGTGAACAAGTGCTCGTACATCACAGGTAATTATTTACCAAATCAACAACAAAAAAGAAGATGATTACTAAATTACTAATTTAGTAAATTAGTCCTAATACGTCCTAATTAGATCTAATTAGTCCTAATTAAACATTCCCTCACCAGGATGAGAGTTGCATTATGACGGAGTAGGTAGCTTGGGAGTGGCCGTATAACTTGACCACTAGTCGGTACAACAACACGTCACCTGCTCAATGATAAGGGAGGTCAGATTCAATAAGATCATAATATTATGATTTAATATTTAGAACATAATATTATAAAGAATTTAAAACTTGTCATCAGTTTCATTGTCATAAATTTCTTTTTACAATATAATACAATTCTAAAAGTGACGTACTTAACAAATTTCCACTGACATCGTATTTGAGTCCGGTGTTATGAAAATGGGATAAACTCTTAAAAAGGCTACATATTATGTACCTAAGATGTGTCTAATTGATAGATGATTAAAAATGTTTGCCTAAATACAATTACCCGCAAAACAGAGCAGAGCTTGAAATAGTCGAGGTACCAGAATGACAAGTGCAGCTGAGTCGAACCTTAGTAACTTGAGTACCTGAAGAAGAGGAGTTACTAAGTATTTATCAATTAGTTTACTAGTATGCTAATAAGAGACTGATATACACATCACAGTGCTGGCAAGCACGACCATCGCCCTTATCTCCTATACTATTATACCCCCTATACTATTATACCCCTCTACTTTTATAGTATTTACCCCCTTTACTGTTTGGGTAAGGGAGATACTGGCAGCGGTCCACTAAGCTATTACTCCGTTATTATACATATTATAACCAATTATGGGTTTTGGTAAAATTAGACAACCTGGCTAAACTGCTTAAATCAAGGTACAGTCGGTTGTGATACGATAATAGGCAATGATGGGGGAATGTATTGATGAATATTATTTGGAGAATGTGTGTAGGCAGGTAATTAGTTCATTATGTTTCCTCAGATAATTAGTTGATGTATTTACATCACAGCAGTGTACGATAATCATCAGTGTGCGTTATGATCGTAACGTTTGGAAGATAATGTGTAGAATCATTGAAACATGTTGAAGCAAGTAATTTAGAGTTTCAAAATTCCAAGTTTTATCATTTTTAGTGAAATATATAACTAGCCCAATTTACTGCGTTTCTTAAACAAGGCACATATTTTCTCTTTTTCGTTATCGCCCCTTATCATGGCTCCTTCATGCGGGGATCATGATAAGATATTGAAGAACAATTTAATGCATGTAAATATCACGTGTTAACAATTCGCACTGGTGATTGGTACATTAAGACGTCATTATCATGAAATTATAAATTGTTGGTCCACAAATTTCAGCTGATACGTAAAAATAATAAAATACTCCTACAATTATCAGTTGATAATCTTCTAGGAAACCAGAGCAGCTCATTACTAATTTGGCGTATTATATAATACATCTCTTTTGTCTATACTAAGCAGTTGAGTTGATAAGGCTAGAGTCTAGACAGTAAACAGTTAACATTATAACTAAATCCCACAACATTAATCTGCCCTGGCTTGCATGGCAACTTGGCATTATAATAATATGTCGGTTACAAGACTGCTGGAGTCGCTATAAGTTAGCCCTTGGAAGCTAAAGATAATGATCAAGCTTAACAAAGTAAACGCTGGTGTAATTTGTGTAAAGTGGTTTACAGAGAGAGGAGGGAGTCTAAAACGGCCAGAAATGGCTTGCTTAATATGTGAACTATCACTGACTGAGTGTATAGCCCATGACTTGGCATATTCTATCCACTTAGAACTGCATGTCACACTTTTAATCCACTCAATTAATCAGTAGTATGTAACTACCTACATACTACGTTACATAATACATAGTAGCATTACTACGTACTATAGAGGTGGGAAGGTATGTGGAGGGCTTGCGTTATACATTATATTACATTACATAAGACATTGCATGGGATTATATCTTCTCAAATTTCATATTATGAGTTGAAACATACGAGAGAGCTCTACACACTTTAATGAAGCAAAGAAACTCTTAGAACAGTGTTTTGTACGTGATGTACGTGATGTACGAATTGTACGTGATGTACGAGATGTACGTGATGTACGTGATGCGGGTTTTGTACGAGGTGGAATGTGAT